TGAATCGAACACGACACAAAATTTGAAAACATTAATGACGCAAAGAAGTGGGTCTTAATGGGAAATATGACAAGTTGGGTGTTTATCCACTAACAGGTGCTGTCAATCACCAGGATTAACCTCAAGTTTTAGACCGACAGGCCTTATGTAATGATCTGCATTTTCCACCAGTGGCCCCATCATGTTATAGTCATTACTTTACATTTTTTCTCTCAACTGAAGACTCTCCGAAGGACTGGGTCGGGGGTGTATTTCTTGATGGGACTACAGGTTTCCTGTGTACCAGACTTATACACTCATTAATGGTATTACCACCAAGTCTGGTGTTAGCGAATTATGACCTTACATGGAAACTGACGACCATCTCCCTTTTAATAAGACAAAGGTTACAGTGTGTCGTAAAAGTTTGATAGGGTAAGGCGTTTGTTCATTTGGTTTAGAATTGTAGAAAGAAAAGAATCACTCCTGAATGATGTTCAACAAATGACCACGGTTCAGTGAGAGAAAATCAATTAAAACAAAATTCGATTCGCAAAGCGGTAAATTAAAACAAAAGCATAGATATCGTTAGACCGAAAGCTTCAGTCTCTCTAATCGTCGGTTGTTCCACTGAGACTACGTCTGGCTCCACTAGACCTCCGATTATTGGGGAATGACAACAAATGTCAGTTTTATTAAAGAAATGACCCAAATCAGATGGTTATTGCTGTCTAAGATATCGTAACACAAAAGAGGTAGAGTTTCATACCACGCTCGATTTTGCTTTACACAGCCTTCCGATTTGTTTGTATATAAATATATATATTAAGTTGAAGTGCCTCTAAATGAAAATAGTAACATTAGAAGATTGATTTTCACAATTTGTGTTTCGTATAATATGATATTAATGTCAGCATCATTTTGATCATCCGTTTATAAACTTGCTGAAGACAAAGTCTAGCCAAAATATTCACGTTAACTTCAAATTTTCCTTGAAGCACGAAAGTGCAATTCCACTTTGTAAACCAGGCAGTGACCCAAATAACACGTCTGCCAAAACAAATATTCCCGGAAACATTTCATAGAAGAAGAAAAATGAGTACAGTCTCCGCGTCTATATGTTCACAGTACGAGGAACATTTCTATTAGACGTAACATGATTTCGAAAACACAAAAGATGACGAAACGGGGAAATATTGAATGGAACAGCTGCATCTTCCGGCCGGCAATTTGGGCTGAAAATGAAAAGCAAATATCAATTTATTAAGAGTTATTCTCCGCAGAGAGCCATGATTCTAGACAGTGTGTGGGGAAGGGGAGAACCCCCAGGGGTTTCGTAAGCGCTGCAATAAAAAAGTAATTTACACAATTTAAAGGAAAATAAACATCGGGGAGTTTGGAATTATCATGTCACTTGAACTCGTCATATGCGTGATTGTAAGTTTCCTGTCGAGTTTATTTGATATCTCCAAACAATAAAGTGGTGTCACACGGGTTTAGCCATGATGGGGGCACTGGTATAACGGGGAAGGGGGTGGGGGAGGGGCACGGTCTTACTCGGAAAAAAATATTAAAAAGCCATGGTTAGGGGGATGCGGAAGGGATCCCATCGTCCCCACCCCCTTTTTCCGGTTTCTCATATTGTTTTTTTTTTTTTTATGTCACACGAGTGGGGGCATATGCTCACCCTGTAGCTACACCACTGTGGATATAAAATGGTGTGCTTCTGTTATATCTGTAAGCGTCAGTTAGGTGTGCCTGAAATTGTTCTGGAGTCTCTCGTAATGAAAGTCTTACATGGAAAGTAAGGTGAACCCCCCCCCCCCCTCGTTTCGTTCCTTGTCCCCCCCCCCCCCCCCCTCTCTCTCTCTCTCTCTCTCTCTCTCTCTCTCTCTCTCTATATATATATATATATATTTATATCTCTCTGCCTCATTTACCACTCAATATAATATAAATCCCGAATACTATGATAACACAAACACTAGTACAAATTCTCCTTTACTTGTTTCATCTTCTACCAACAGCTGGCGTTGTTCCAATAAAACAGTCGGTGCCTCTGATTACATTAGGAAAGTTCGGCCTCCGCGGTTCGAGTCGGGGCATTTTGGCCCGAATTCACAAAGGAGGTTTGTCGACAAACCTTGGTTTTCGTACGTCATATGACGCCTTTTACGCTTTTTTTTTTTACAAACCTGGTTTGTAAAGAACAAAAGGAGGTTTGGCGAAACAAAAGGAGGTTTGAGCTCAAACCTTGCTTTGTGAATTCGGGCCATTATGTCTCCGTCTCTTTTTCTGCCTCATTTGCTACTCAATATCTTACAAATGCTGAATACTAGAACATTTGTAGAATTTCTCCGTTACTGTTTCATCTTCTACCTACAGCTGGCGTTGTTCCACTAATACAGTTCCACTAATACACTGATTATATCAGTAAAGTTTGGCCTCTGCGGTAGGGCCTTAGGGGCACAATTTCTTTACAGAGGTAATAATGGAGAAAATATGGCAAGATACGTCACATTGTTGCCAATTTGTGTTTCACTGATGACAACTTGAAAATTCATAACTTTTCTACTTTTAATCAGATATTGCTCGATCTTTCACCATATATGTTTCTCTTTTTTCCCTGCTTTTATTAATACCAGCTTATTATATGGGTGGACTTCCTCTTTTAAATATAAAAACATAAAAAATACAACATTAACTACAATATAAACATATGACCAATGGATAAATTCATTTTCATGTGTTTTTCCAAAATAGCAGAAATGCATTTTAATTGTCACAAATACAAAAACACACAACTTTCTTCAATATGGCAAGAACGCTTAAACAAGGCAAGATTAATATTTGGAAATGTCTCTAGAAAGTCGTACCTTTAGAACTTTGTATAACATATGTACAACACATCAGTGGTAGTTTGAAAGTACAGATACACATTGTGTGTATACCATACTGTCATAGAATATTATTAAACATTTATTACATTACAAGCTCTATGGAGAGCCAGAAGGGCGTTCACTATGGGTAAAGGTGTATGAGTTAATGCCCTTCTGGCTCCAAACAGATAATAATCAGGCTCAGATATTCTCAAAATGTACTTTCCATTCCCTAGTTGCATCTAGACTGACCAATATTTTCTTGGTCATCAGATCAATATCTGAAGGTCATTTTGTCCACTATATACATGTATATCCTCATGGCACTTTGTTTTTTGAGGAGAGTAGAACAGTGGGAGGAGAGAAGACAACAACAACAAAGACAGCAGCTAGCTACGGCTTCAACAGCACAGCCACAAATGACTTTTATCTGCAGCAACTGCAACAGGACCTGCCTCTCTAGGATTGGACTAGTATAACTTGACTAGTACAACTATATAGCGCAATATTCTATTGTCTTTCGAGACAGACAGATGCCGAGGATAGGAGGACTTTGTTTTTTGATCATTAAATACAATAATGTGCATAAACTGAATTATGTTCTCTCGATTTGTGATTTTGTTCTTCTTCTGTTGAAATCAATGTCCGAGTTCACTGAGAAGTTGTTAGAAGCTGAGTTGCAACTTCAAAGTTGAATTGGCGAATCTTTATAAAGCCATGTACATCTCAATTCTTCTCTACTTGTTCAAGCTATCAAAGTATCTTCAAACGAATCCTAACTACTAACTTTATTTTCTTGTAGAAAAGTAAATGTAACACATAAACTAGCATTCAGCAAACATATATACACATCATATACATTTCAATCCATATAATCTTTTGTTGACATTAGTTACTTTCAATCCATAGAATACTTTTGATGACATTTGTTACTTACAAAATAAAAATGGATGTGACATTAACCCGTACTAGAATACAAGTAGAATATATATCCATTCTATCTCTACAATCTTTTCGTGTCAATTCATCAGTCAAAGATATATTCATAAATAAATATTATATATTTCAGATATTTATAAATAAGTTTTTGTTTTGGAAATAAATTTGTACAAGCTATAAAGCACTTTAAAAGCGCATACGAGTTATTCAAGTTATTCATATTTCAAATATAAAATATTCTGTTCACCATGCAATATATCACTAATAACTTTCATATCTACAATGAAAAGAATTAAATTCTTTTGTTTTTAGATTTTAAATAAATATCAAATATTTCATAATGAATACAATAATACTGGGAATGATAAGAAGTAACGTGTATATTTCCTGAGTTTAGGATTCAATTGAGGCAAGATTCAAATACATACATATTTCAAATTAGAAGAATAATAATAAACACAAATATGTTTATAATAAGAAGAAAAGAAATCTTCTTTGTACTGTCTATTACAATAATCAGCTGCAATAGAACAAATGGATCAATTTTAAAAGTGATAAAACATATATGGTAGACACATAATGATAATAATTTAGAGAATACGAAATGTATTTAATTTGAAGATGAATAAAATTAAGAACACAATCAAATGATTCACTTTTCATAAATAAATAAAGCATTTCACGAAATGACAAAGATCCTTACCCTCATCCCTTGTAGATAACCTACCTACAATAATCCAATATAATCATGAGTCTTATATTAATAATAATATATTAATAAATACAATAAAGAAAATTATAAGGTACTGCAGGAGATTATTCCTCGACATAGAAAAAATACAAACAAGAAATAGGAACACAAATTGTTAAAGCTTTTGTACCATCTATGTATTCCAATTTTTCCCACACACTGAGCCATTTTGTATTGTCAAATTCAAACAAAAAGTTCTATCCAAAACAATCTAAAAACAGAAGCATCATTTTATCGTACAATCCAAATATGAAGATATATCATTTCTTCATGACACTGGTGAAATTGTCATTGCAGAAAATCAAGAGTTTGCAGGAAAAAAGGCTTTTCAAATACATAGTGCTGTGTAATACATGAACATAATTCTTACTAAAGAGAATTTCTTATAAAACAGTCTGTACTGTGAGTGTAAACTACTGAAATTTCAATACTATTTGGCAGCTCTGTGTTAGATCAAACAGACTTACTCTTCCATGTCAAAGGGTTCAGAGTCCTCGCTATCATTCCCATTAGCTGCTGCAGCAGTAGCGACCATCACCCTCTTCTGCCCAGGAACTGTCTGAGGCTCATCAGGTTCGGACCAATCAGCTGGGTCTGGACTGCACTCCAGGATGTCAGGTGGGTCCAAGGTCTTCAGGAGTTTGGTATCTTCAGCAATGGTGTCATCGATCTTCGGACCTTGACTGAGCTGAGAGTCCTGCCCTGGTGCCTCCTCTGCGTTGGTAAGATGCTTGTCACTTGCGTCTCTTTGGTGCTCACTTGTGTCTGTTTGGTGCTCCCTTGTGTCTGTTTGGTGCTCACTTGCGTCTTTTTGGTGCTCACCTGCGTCTTCCTGGTGCTCAGGCTTGGGCAGGAGTTCCAGCTGCTTGCCCGTCATCTGAGATAGAGGAAATGCTAGAGGATCGCTGTTGTTCTCTTTGGCTGGATCTGCTTCTGAGGTTTCCGAACAGTCTTGTTTGGTGTTGACCTCAAGGATCTTGCTGATGTCAACCGACGTCTCCTCGTCAAGAGCATCCAGACCACCTCCACTGGCAGGAGCGGGGGGTGCGGTTGTTGTACAATCTGGAAGATTTGCCTCAGAAAGGCTGTGTCCATCTTTGGTTTTGATGCTGAATTTAGGCTTGAACTGTTTCTTGATGCTCTTGGCAGGACTTGTCCGAGTAACTTGGAGATCAGTAGAAGTAACTGCAGGGACATCGGTGGTACTCACAGGAGACTCAAAGGCAACTATACTACCTTGGTCCGTCTCATTAACAATCTCTTTGATGAGCGCTCCTATCTCTTTGCTGACTGAAGACTCTTCCGCAGGAGTTGGTTGTTCTGGAAGAGCTGGGGCTGGTTCTACAGCTATCCGTTTTGGTGCAGAGAACACTGGCTTCTTTGCTTTCTGGAAACTAGGTTTCACCTTTCCTGCCCCTTTCTCTTTCTGATCAGCGACTTTACCATCATTGCCCTCTTTCTTCTTTTCCTCCTTTCTCTTCGCTTTCGTCTCCTTCTTCACTCTCTTCCTCTCTTCTTTTTCCAAGCGTTTCTTCTCCTTCCTTGCAGCTTTTTCAGCATCATCTTCTTTTTCAACATCTTCAGTGACATCTCCTGCATCACCTTTCAAAGCTTTCTTCTCAGCTTTCTCTTTCTTCTTTAATTCCTTCTTTGCTTCCTTTTCTTTCTGCTTCAATTCTTTCTTCTCTTGCTTGGACTTTTCCTTCTCTTCTTGTTTCTCCCTATCTTTCCTTTCCTGTTCTTCCCCCTTTTCCCTCTGCTTTTTCTCCTCCCTCTCTTGCTTCCCTTTTGCTTTCTGGTCCTTCTTTGCCTGCTTCTCCTTTTCTCTTCTCTCAATCTTTTCTCTCACTTCAAATTCCAATAGTTCCAACTTGCGCATCTCTTCCTCCTTCTTCTTCTGAATCCTTTCCAGTTGTTTGGACAGTTTCATCTCAGAGGTTTGTTTCTCCTTCGATGGTTTCTCTGATCTTTCTCCTCCCCCTGTCTTATGTTTAGATGAACTCTTGTCCTCCATCTTCTTAGATGTACCCTTCCTCTCTTTGGCTGGTGGTTCGCCATCCTTGCCATCATCTGCTTCCCTTTTCCTAGATGGTGATTCTTTTTCACCTGGGATAGAAAAAAAATGCATATGAAGTGCAGGTTACACAATCATGTAAATGTAAAAAAAAATTGTATATTACTTATAGCTTTAAATGATACAGTATATTGGATTCTTCGATAGAACTCACATTCCAGCACACCGTTGCACAAATATATAATTTCAGCTTTAGCACTAATAATGAATACTACTACTACTACTACTACTACTACTATTGCAAGAACATTCACTACTACATGTACTACTACTACTATTAATAATAATAGTAATAATAATAATCATCATTATCATCATCATCATCATCATCATCATCATCAATTCAATAAACTCAAATCTTGTGAAAATTTCAGAAATTGTTTGTTTTGATGACTCTGAAACACAGTGTCATTAAAGGTAAAGACCAGTTATGGTCATGCGATTGCATTGTGAAAGAAACGTTGTGAAATCGATCAGAATAGGTTGATCATCTAGCATCTAGCATCTGCAAGGTTCTGGAATCATCAAAATGATAAGAAATTTGGCCCATTCTTCGTAAAGTTACAAGCACTATACACAGAAAGATGTATATGGGACTACCCTATATCTCTCACAGACCATGAGAGAAACAAATTTACCAAATATATGAATTAGTAGGCGGTTTCCCGGCAAATTTTTTATCATCATGTATTAGTCAAAACATATTCTTTCACATGATTGGTAATGAGAGCTTCCATTTCATTTTTTGAAATTGGGGCGTTTCCAATACTGGTCTTTACCTTTAAATTAGGGCATGCATATTTGATCCTCAGTGATTGTGCCCTAGATCTTTTCATACCCGACATGGTGAAGATCGATTTACTAGAGTTTGTACTGCCATTCACAGCTTTGTATGAACAAAAACTTCCGCAGGATATAACTTTCTTGAATCTGGACTCCTTGTGAGATCTGCGAAAGTTTCATGTATGCAACTATTTCTGGTTCTACAGTAATCAGTATCTTGGACCTTTAAATTAAAAAAATATTAAAGATAAAGTTGAGTTCTGGTCATGCGATTGCACTGTGAAAGAAACTTTGTGGAATAGATCACAAAGAGTTCATCATGTAGCATATAAGTTTTGGTGTGTACTACAAGGTTCTGGAGTCATCAAAATGATAAGAAATTTGGCCCAGTCTTGGGACACGAACAAGCACTGTACACAAAAAGATGTATAGGGGACTAAACAAACATGTGGGACAAAAATGAGGCCTCATTTTTAAGCTGTTACTTGTCATATTTAGAATATGAAGGCATTTGAAGAGCCATGCTTTTCAGGGAACATTTTTTTCTCTGATGTTCTTCCACACTTGCATAATAACAATGATAATGCTCACAAATGATTTTCCCCTCTCCCCAGAACTCAACCTTCTCTTTAAGCAAATGAACCATGCCTTACCTATCTCCATCTCTTGAAGGAGGCTCTCTTGGACCTCATCCTCCACCTCCATCACAATGTTCTGGACCTCTCCTAGAAGCGCTTCAGCCTCATCCAGGATATCATCCATGTCGGAGTGGCTTAGGAGTGAGCCGGGAAGGCTGGAATCCTCGTCTACGATGACCCGTTTCTTGGGTTTGGGACCTACGATGACCCTTTCCTTTGGTTTGGGGCCTTTCATCTTGCGTGGCGGCTCTATATTAGAGTAGGAAGAAAAAGGTTTCATTTGTAACATTGGTAATAACAAGGTGTTTAGTGCATGAAACATGTTCAACAAATAAGCAATATGATTCCAGTACATTGCAATACACAATAATACTTATATGCTAGATGATCAACCTTTTCTGCTCGATTCCACACCGTTTCTTTCACAACGCAATTGCATGACCAGAACTCAACTTTATCTTTAAATAAATCTAAGGAGGCTATTCTTTACCTGCATGTTGACCTTCATCGCTTGTCCTCTCCTTCTCCTCACCCCAGGGACCCTTGAAGCGTGCACTGAATCCGAATGTCTTGATCCTCTCCTGTACTCAACAAAGCAAAAGCATAGGAATCAATCATTAAAGACGCATAGTAGTGGGCTCTCCTGGGAATTTTGACACGTTACTTTATTCTCTTGGGTATCGAGTGGCAAATGTAGATTAATGCCTTCCCAAAGGACATTAGTGTCGTGTCGGGATCAAACCACAACCTTTAATTTCAAGTCAAGTGCTGAAACCACTCGACTACGACAAATGACAGTGATCCCTAGTTATATTTTTAGCAGAAATGCCTTTCAGAAGAAGTGACAGGCGGATGAGTTGGATCGAGTTACATAGCACATCAAATAACCTTAACCCACTGAAGCTCTTCTTGGTTGGCCATTCTATAACACATAGCCAATACAGTCAAACCTGTCTATAGTGACCGCCCAAGGGAAACACAAAAAAGTGGTAATGTGGAAAGGTGGTCTTTGTAGACAGGTTTCTTCAGTACATGTTTCAATGAGAAACCATTTTCAAGGGAAACGAAAAATGTGGTCTTTGTAGACAGGTTTCTTCAGTACATGTTTCAATGAGAAACCATTTTCAAGGGAAACAAAAAATTTTGGTCTTTGTAGACAGGTTTATTCAGTACATGTTTTAATGTGAAACCATTTTCAAGGGAAACAAATATGTGGTCTTTGTAGAAAGGTTTCTTCAGTACATTTTTCAATAAGAAACCATTTTCAAGGGAAACAAAAAATGTGGTCTTTGTAGACAGGTTCCTTTAGTATATGTTTCAATGAGAAACCATTTTCAAGGGAAACAAAAAATGGTGGTCTTTGTAGACAGGTGGTAACTAAAGCAGGTTTGACTGTGCAATGTAGATGGTGACAAGCTTTGATGACATCAATAGGATCAACAGCACCCTGGGGCAGCCGAAATAATCATAAATCACATGAGCACGTATCCAGTATTTGCCTTTACTCGGTCATGTGCGGAGTGCATTTACAAACTGGCTAATTATTCAAAAAAGAGGTCACACAAGTTCATATTGATTAATTATATGATGACAACTCATGTATCAATGCTCAATTCAGTTTTACCTTAATTGGTAGTTTTTGCGCTCCATCTGCTATTTCTTTAGCTGCCTTTATCTTCTGTGAGTAATCATGACCTTTGAGGGTCATCTGTAAAGAAAAGAAAAGTACGATACTATACAGTAATGTTAAAATGTATACACTATATGAAATAACATGGTATTTAAACAAATATGTAACTCCTAATAAAATGGCTTAAACCACTGCATGCAATTACCACAATTGAATATTGAGAGCAAATCATTACTATTAATTTTCCTGAAATTCAACAACAAGCTTACAAAACAAAACTGTTCAAGATTTATATGTTACAGAAACGTGCAGCTCGGTTAATAACAAATAGTCATTATATGTCTCCAAGTTTACCATTATTTATTAAACTGAAAATTATTCCTGTATATGATTTGATCAAACTTAATACATGTATATTTATGTTTAAATTTCATAAAAACCTGTTACCATCTGTTTTTAATAATATGTTCCACACAAATTCTTCTATTCACAATTACCCCACTCGTCAACGTCTAAATTTACATCACCCACTCTGTCGTTCAACTTCACTGTATAATTCTATATCATTTGTTGGGGTACGGGAGTGGAATTCCTTGAATTATGACCTAAGATCAAGTTCTACAATTACCAGATTTAAATCAATGTATAAAAAAAGTATTTTTCAATCCATGGTTGAGTAAGTACTTCTCTTTCCCATCTTTTTTCTACTTTTATCTCTTTCTGCCCTATTTTCGCTTCCTTCTATTCTTTCTCTGTAACCTTCTTTATGAACGTGCGTGTGTGTTGATGTACGGGTGCGTACTTGTATTATTTAAGTCCTTTACTTTGTATTGTTAATTTATTGTCATTATCTTCTTATTGTTTGTTTGCAGGGCCCCGATTACAAGCAGATTTCTGCTTCTTAGGGTCCTAACCATTATATTGTATATTGTACATTGTATTTTCATTGTAAATTGTTTTTATAGTGGTTAAATAAATGAAATGAAATGAAAAAGCTGAAAACACCCCCGCCTTCTCATTTTATTTTACCATGGAACAGGTAAGAAGCAGAACCTCCTCGGTATATGTAATAGGGACCATAACCTCATTCAAAAAGCTTCAATAACCATACTGTTGGATGTACTATTCATGGTTTACTTCTTCTTCTTCTCCTTCCCCTCCCCCTTCCCCTTCCTCCTCCTCTTCTACTTCTTTTTTCTTCTCCTTCATTACTACTAATACTACTACCACCACCACCACCATCACCACCACCACCACCACCACTACCATTACCACTTCCACTATCACTACTACCACTACTACTACTGCTAATATGGGATTTGTAAATACACTTGAAATCACATGCTTATTTCTAGTTTTCATGCATCTCTCTTCCTCTTAGAACTACTCTTTTTTTTCATTTCTCTCTCTCTCTCTCCACCCTCCCTCCCTCTCTCTCTCTTCTTGTAGAGTACTATCTAATCATTCTTTTCTCTAAAGTTGTAAAGCTCTGCTTATGTCTCAGGAAAAACAAAAATTTGTTGGTCAAGCTTCCTCTCTTCTTTGATCACTGACTAAATATCATATCACCGCCATATCCTACAAGTAAAATAAAATATCAATAAATTTCCTCTTTTAGAAATGAAAAAGTACCTGTGCTTGATGATCTTGATTTGTAATAAGAGCCAGTCTCTGATTAAATTTTTTCGATTGAATTTAAATGAATAAAAAATAACAGATATATATTTATTTTGTATTTGTTTATTTGTATGACATTTCATACAAGAGAGAAATATGACGCACTTGAAAAGGAAGTTGTACAAGCATGGAACTGTAAAATAATCTTGGATATTTTGGGTGACTGATGATTTTGTGATGTATATATATATATATATATATATGTCAAAAGGGTTGAGGTATAATATGTTGCTGTATAATACCAACATCACCATGGTTTGTGTCTTTATAATTGCAAACCAGTAAAAAAAAAAACATGCAATTTTGCTTATGTGTTTAATATGCACTATATAAAATAGTTTTATTATTAGTAATTATTATTATTATTATTATCAAAAGGCGTAAAGAGAAGGTTGAGTCCTGGGAAAAGTGAAAACTAATTTCTTATTAATAACTCAGTTTTTATATAGCGCTTATTACAATCACTAAGCGCTTCCAAACTTGAAGATTAATACCCGGCTTTTAGCTGTGCTGCCATTAGATGTCACTGTAGAAGAGTTTCATAGAAAAAAGTCCCCTGAAGTGAATTGTTCTTCAAATGCCCTCATATAATCAAAATATGACGAGTGATAATTACATGTACTAGGTTGAGGACAACACTCTCTCACCACAGGTTTCAGTGGCGGATCTAGGAGGGGGGGGGGGGGGGGGGGGGGGGGGGGGGGCACAGGGGGCATGTGCCCCACCAAAAAAAAAGTATGTTAAAATCAGTCCTAAATTTGCCTATAAAATGTACTGAAAAACAGGGGCGTGCCCCCCCCCCCCCTGACCAAAAATAAAATTATATATATATATTTTTTTATTAAAAAAAAAAAAAAAAAATTGCCAATGGCTGACCTAAAAAGGTGACCTTACCCCCCCCCCCCCCAACAGAGCAAAATGTCAAATAAAAAAATTTTGTGACCAAAAAAAAAGAAGAAAAGTGTCCTCTTACCCCCCCCCCCCCCCCCCCCCCCCCCGGCTTTTATTCAGCGGTTGGCTGAGTTGTTGCAATTTTTTTTTGGACTAAATATATATATATATAAACTAGCAGGACCCGCGGAAATCCGCGGGATCCTAGAGGGGGGCGGGGGTGTAAATAGATATATAGAGACTGTCTAAATTGAAACCACCAAGAACTTTAATTGCCATTCAGGCCATTAAGAAATATACATGTTAAGCGTCCCCGCCCGCTTCCTTTTGGGGGGCCGCCTCCTATTTTTTTTTTTTGAAATTTTTTGAAAAGTTTTTTTTTTTTTTTTTTTTGGAAAGAAAAAAAAACAGCGTCCCCGTCTGCTTCCTTTTTGGGGGCCGCCTCCTATTTTTTTTTTTTTTTTTTTAATTTATTTATTAATTTTTTTTTGAAAGAAAAAAAACATGAAAAGCACTGCTAAAATGTATTTCTGATTTTAAAAAAAAAAAAAAAAAAAATTGTCGGCCGCCATCTTGAAAAATAGCCCGAATGTCAGGAAAAATGTACGGAGCGGCCATTTTGAAAGAAAAAAAAAGAAAAAAAAAGGGCCTCCTCCTTCCCATTTTTCAAAAAAAAACAGGACGCTAAACATGTTTTTTTTTTTAATTTGGCCTTATATAAAAATTTAAAAAACGATCCAACTGTACCGGTAGTTATCCTTTAAGCCACTGGAACTGCGTAGAGTTCCGTAGTGTGGCATACCGATTACGCAGAAATTAGGCTGCGTATTAATGGGAAAATAGTCCCTGCGTAGGTTATGCGTAGGCTGGCGAAAAAAATTAAACAGGTTGAATTGTTTTCGTTCATCTTGCGTACCCCTTTCCGTCCCTCAGCATATAGTAACATAGGCCCGCGTAGTCAGTACGCAACACTACGCAACTCTACGTATTGACCCCACGCCAATTAATGACCCGCAAGTGTCACAAATAAAGTATTAAAAACATGCTCATCTGACCCTAATTAAACGCCTAAAACCCCCGAGCTTTCGGGGGTTTATGGCCCCTTGAAACCCGTGGACTCCACGCCTATATTATATATACACTCAACCGCTGCGATCTGATCTCGCCCCCCAACTTTGAAGAACGTCACCCCCGAGCTTTTGGGGGTTTATGGCCCCTTGAAACCCGTGGACCCCACGCCTATATTATATATACACTCAACTCAGGACCCGCGGAAATCCGCGGGATTCTAGAGGGGGGCACAGGCAAAAAGTAAGTTTTTCATGTCGGGGGCTCCATTTCAAATTTTTGGGAAATTTTCGGGGGCTACTTTTTCAACTTTCGGGGGCTCTTTTTTCTGGGGCTACTTTTTCATTAATTCATAAAAGGATAGGCCTACACTTTGTTGAGATTTGTTTAGTAGGCTAAGGTTTCAGGCTTCCTACTTCATAATTGCCTATTTAAAAAAAAAAAACATTTTTCTAGTTCAATAACTAAGTTTTCATGCATTGATTTGATGCAAGAATTGTAACATAATAGACCCTAGATTGTGATTATTTCTGACCATGAATTTCGATAAACATTTTTCAAAGTAAAATTTTCACAAGAAAATCAGACAGTCGTTTAAAAACGTAGACATTAGTAATACTTTTACTAATTCTAAGCTCAGGTTTCGTAAATCTATGCACGAAACTATATTGAAATCGCGGCAATAATGATGCAAACCAACAGATAACAATTTCAAAGTGTCAAATCTCTTCGACTCGGCCCAGGTGAACTCACACACACTACAGCGTAACTCCAGCTAGGAAGCTCGAACACCGGCGCCGCAGGCGTCGGACGCCTACGGTGCGCGGTGCCGGTGTTGCATGGAGCTTCCTGCAAGCTCATTTCAACTCACACACCGCACACAGCAGCATTGTGTGTTGACTGAAGGCAGCTTGCGACTGAATTGTCAGTCCAATGGTTTTCTTGTGAAAACTTTCCTTTAGAAAATGATAATCAAAATTTAGTAGCATGGCCGTAATAATCACAAAATAAGCTTTCATTTCATACCTCCATTCACGACACCTATATAAAAATCGCGGCAATAATGATGGAAATAGGTCCCTAAGTTTGGACGTGGACGGGAAGCTTCGTGTGTATCTCTGTGGCTCGTGCAGCTACTATACAATGGATATCCTATAGAAAGATGCTTTACTCGGGTAAGCCCGACCCTGTGCGTCGTGCATTTAATACGCAACTTAATGTGAGTGGACAGTCATCGGTCGTGTGTCTACGGATGTCATGTTGAATATCCATGAGGTATCTCTGTCGTCACGCATATCCTGCATTATGCATATCGCGTCTGTTTTCGCCCTGGACGTCGACACGGAGGGGGACCTCGGGCGGAGTATAGCCAATTCCACAGAGTAGACTCTCCCGCGGACGATGGCACCGGGCACGGGTACCCGGAGGGGAGGGTTCAGGAG